AAAAAAATTTGTAATTTGTAATTTTAAATTTTAAATTTGTAATTTTAGTGTTTATTGGGCAGCCTACCTTGTGTCCCTAAAGTAAGACACAATCTTTCACTTGCTATTCTTTGTGCTTCTAGAAGACAGGCAAGTGGCCAAGAAAATTGAGACAAAGGGAAGCTCAGTGACTTTGACAATAGTAACTGTTGTTTTACAATATTTATTTCTGAAGCCTGGATTTGAAGCCTTCTGTTTTATGCCAAAGATTTCATTAGGCAACATCTCTTCTGAGGCTTGGACAAGATACCTAGAATTGTCCCTCTACTGCATAGATCTCAGCAGATCAGTTTGACATGGCACAATTTGTCTTTAACCAGAATGTGGGAAGGGGTGCAGGGTGAGCATAGTCGTAATAAGGTTTCTGTGGCATAATCTTCTTCTCCTTGAGTTTCACTTCCTATGTTGGTAGAAATGTTGCCATTCTTACCCTGTGACAGGCCTGTGGAGCCACGTCTTCAGTCTCACAGCCTCTGTAATGGACTTCATGTTCCTGTATATTCCCAAAAGGTTGTAATTTTGATCCTGTTTGGAACACTGGAAGAGTACTTGGAATACTCAAGAGAGGCCCTCATGCGCTTTGTGGGAATGAGATGAACAAGGATGCCACCCACTAGGTTCCTGACCCCAGTGCCCACCCTGACGTCACACATAACCTGAACCCTGTGTCTAAGCATGCTCACCCATCTCTCTTTTATAGTAAAATTCTACAACCTCTCTCTGTGGTATGTGTGCATTTCTATACTTGCATGGTTCAGGACTGGCCCAGATTACCACAGAATTAATCTCAGGATTAGAAGTCACCTTGGCCATAGTCTAATATAAACATTCATTCCTCAACAATACCACAACTTATTAGATGCTAACTCCAGTGAGGTCTAAATTTTAACCCTTCGTTAATGAGGTAAAAGGAAGATCTAATATTCTTGGAATGCCTTCTAGTGGATAGGCTAACGATGTTCATGCATTAAACCATCTAACTTCATATCCTTATAATGTTTTAAAAAGTATTGCTGTTTTAATCATCAAAATGAGATGGAGAATGAAAAGTCCACACAACATAATAAAAAGTTACATTTAAAAAATCT